CTCATGCAGCCATGCCAGTCAACGCCCTCGCAGCCAAGCAGAACAATCGCAGACCAAAATGATGTGTGACGCGATACCAGAAACTAGCTGCTGCCCTGGATCCATCACTCAAGATAATACTGGTGAGTCAATTCCTCAATTAGAAGTTACCGCATTATCTGAACTGGTCACCGTATTAAAATCAATGTCTGGTAATAATCCCGAGAAGTTCGGATCCCTTAATAATGCTGTACCTGAATTCGATCCCTGTAAACGAGAACAAACCATGATAATGTGGCTTCACAAAGTCAACGAGTGCGCTACTATCTATGGATGGTCAGAAAAACAAATTGTTCACTATGCCCTACCTAAACTAAAAGGCGTTGCCCAGAGATGGTATGAGGGTCTACCTTCCGTCTTATTTACCTGGGTCGAATGGCAGGAAAAACTGTTAGCAGCTTTTCCGTCAGAAGAAAACTACGGGCAAATGCTCAGCGATATGTTGGCGAAGCGAGCTAGATTTACTGATTCATTAGAAGATTACTATTATGACAAGCTAGCACTCATTAATAGGTGTGGGATACTCGGCAAACGTGCAGTGGAGTGTCTCTTACACGGTATTGACGATCGATCAGTCAGATTGGGCGCAGAAGCGGCCCAGTTTGACGACCCTAATAAGCTTTTGGCGTATTTACGAAATGCTCGTAATATAAAATCGATCATTGACCGTAAATCGAATAAAAATCAACCCCCGAAAAATTCGAATGGCCACAACTTTACGAAAACTATACGTTGCTCCAATTGCAAGAAAGATGGGCATGTTACATCGCAATGCACTCAACCAATAAAAAGTGTAGTCGATGTAACAGGATAGGTCATGACACTGAACAATGCTATGCCAAACTCCCAACAACCGAAGAGAAAAAGGTCTTGCGAGTAGAAGATAAAAGTAACGGATTAGACTCATTTTGTTCTTCAAAAATAGCTAATCCAGTATCTGACGCTAATAAGAAATATTTTAAAACCGCTGTAGTTAATGGGTTACCGTTAACAGCATTCGTTGATTTTGGTAGTGAATGCTCTATGATTAAGCTGTCGGAGTTCCTTAAGTTGTCTTTGAAGTACGAGATCCATAATCTCCCGGTTCTGAGAGGTTTTGGCAATTTTATGGTCACTTGCATTGGTAAACAACAAGTTAAGGTCGTTATAGACAATGTAGAGGCTAGTCTTGAACTACTAATAGTATCTGACAACGCTATGCATGTTCCCCTCCTAATCGGACAAACATTTACGGAGCAGCCGCACATAACCATACGCAAGACAAGCGATACTCTAGAAATATCTGAGCTCGAATATCGCGATGTTGTCCAGAATAATAAGGTTAATCTATTTTGCAAGGACTATGTAGAGGTTATGGGCCTCGCTACCGTAGATGTTTATACAGATTCTGCCTATACGGGAGACATTTTTGTCGATGACGATATTCGCTTCTATAAGGGCACCCATTATTCAATATTGGCAGGATTATTTCGATTAGAAGAACGTGGAATAGGACAGGTTGTTATCGGCAACACTTCAGCGTCACCATTACTATTGCCAAAAGATTTTCTAGTAGCAAGGGGTCGCATCGCGCAGGAAGATAACACATTGCAAACTTTAAATGTCGCGTCTATTGTTGCCGATAACTCAAAACCAATAACCGAAGCTGATGTGAGCATGAACGATGCACTGTCCTCTGAGCATAAAATTCAACTACTTAATTTATTAAATAAATATCGGTCCTGTTTTGCATTTAACTTGTCTGAGCTAGGACACACTACTGCCGGGGATATGACTATTACTCTTCATGACAATGAGCCGGTTATTTATAGACCTTATCGCTTATCTATTAGCGAAAAGGAAAAGGTTAGGGAAATGGTTTCTGAACTATTGCAACATAATATAGTAAGACCGTCAACATCATCATACGCGAGTCCTATAGTTGTGGTAAAAAAGAAATCCGGAGAACTTCGACTATGTATAGATTATCGGGCGTTGAATAAGAAAACTGTTCGGGAAACCTATCCAATGCCATTAATCGATGATCAACTGGACGTACTCTCTGGTAACCAATACTACACTACCCTGGACCTCGCGTCTGGCTACTACCAGATCCCAATTCGCGAAGCAGACCGACATAAAACGGGGTTTGTGACGCCGGATGGCCACTACGAATTCAATCGCATGCCATTTGGCCTCGCAAATGCCCCAGCTACGTTTCAACGTATTATGAATCAAGTGCTAGGGTCTTTGCGTCATAAGGAAGCTCTAGCCTACTTGGATGATGTGATTATCCCATCAAAAGACATACATGAAGGTATGTCATGGTTAGAGTCCGTGTTGCATCTATTCGCTGGTGCTGGCCTTACGTTGAAGCTTCCGAAATGTTTCTTTTTCGGTAGATCAGTCGATTACTTGGGATTTGAAATATCTGCAAAAGGAATTCGACCTGGCCTTAAGAAAATAGAAGCAGTGGAGCGCTTCCCAACTCCACAGAACCAACATAATGTACGTCAGTTCCTTGGGTTGGCGAGTTTTTTCCGGAGATTTATACAAAATTTCTCGGTAATAGCTAAACCTCTCACGCATCTTTTGAAGAAGGATGCGAAATGGTCATGGGATGCAGATCAAGAGACTGCATTTCGCCACCTACAAAAGGAGCTGATACAACGTCCCACATTGTCCTTGTATGACCCAAAGGCAGAAACTCAACTCCACACAGACGCTTGCAAAATCGGAGTGGCAGGTATTTTGTTGCAAAGTGATAGAGGTAACCGTCTTAGGCCTGTTGCCTACTATAGTAGGCAAACTACACCAGAAGAGCAAAACTATTCGTCCTACGACCTCGAAACTCTTGCAGTAGTCTCATCCTTACAAAGGTTTCGTGTCTACTTAGTAGGAATTCCCTTTAAAATTATCACAGACTGTAACTCACTGCGCGCCACTTTCCAAAAGAGAGATATGGTTCCCCGAGTAGCTAGATGGTGGGAGCAGATGCAAGAATTCAACTTTTCTATCGAATATAGGGCAGGTAGAGCGTTACAATAGAACGCTTATTGAGGCCCTGACAGCAAAATGTGTTGGTTCTGCTGAAAATAAATGGGACGAGCATCTACCTGACGTACAATGGGGTATGAATAATACCGTTAATAAGGGCATTAACCGTACACCATCTGAGGCGCTTTTCGGTATAAGACCAGCTGGACCTAACGACTGCAGAATTGCCTCTGAATTGTCTAAGGACGTATCTGGACCTGTCAGTGACAATAATGTCGCCCAAATCAGACAAGAGATAAACTCTCATGTCAAACTCTATCAAGAAGCACAAAAAAGAGCATACGACGCAAAGCGTTTTCGTGCTCCAAAATATAAAATAGGCGATCTCGTACGAGTCGAACGGCAAGTCCCAGCCACAGGTAACAGTAAAAAGCTTGTCCCCAAATTTCAAGGTCCTTACCGAATTGTAAAAGTGTGTGACTACGATAGGTACCAAATTGAGGATACGCCCCTTACTCGTAAGTCCAATCGACCATACTCCGCTATATTCGCCTGTGATAAAATCAAGGCATGGCTAAACTTTAAGAGACCGCATGATGATGATCATGATGATGATGGTGATGATGATGGTGATTGCCAATAATAAAATATACAACTATATTATACCAAATATATTATAATTATGATATATATTATATCAAATATACAACTATATTATTATCTAATACCATTACATAATTGTGTTTTGTTAACAAAACTCTGTTTCAGTTTAAGACCTTACCTTGGTGGACCATGAAATAATGTCCACTAAGACCAATTTTACTCATGCCATGAAATAATGCCTGTCATACTTACTTATTGGGCCATGAAATAATGCCCACATTTGTCAAGAGCCATGAAATAACGCTCGTAATTATTAGGGCCATGAAATAATGCCCGCATTTATCAAGAGCCATGAAATAATGCTCGTAATTATTAGGGCCATG